AGGACACAGGTGTTTAAAACTCGTGTAAATCACCGGCATGAGATAGATGTAAATACACAGGATATGGGCTTTAATTGTGACAATCTGTTGGTTTATTATTTCTTAATGATTAAGTGCAGGTTGTATAGAATGTGACAATCGTCACGAAGGTATTGATATTTTGTATTAAACCTGTTTGGATCAAGCTGATACGGTATAATGGAGAAGTTAAAAAGGAATGTACTTTAAATTTATGTACTAAACAGAAATCTTGTCCCTAGCTAGAAGCATATATATATATTTTTATACAATACTGACCCTATGATTTGTAGAGTTCAGTGCATTCTCTTAACGACATAAATCGACGCGGAAGTTTTAAACTAAGGGCTGCAATACCTTGGAAAGAAGGTTTTTCCAATTTACTCAAATCGAATGTCGGAAAAATGTCTAAACAATATACATTTAATTGCACTTTATAAAAAAAATCAATACCCCTTAAGTCCTTTGAAAATGTCATATCTGACAAAATTCAAACATAGCACAACACATTAAATTAATACATGTAATTAAAAGGAAAGGAGTCGAGATGGACATCATAGGACATCCATTTTGGCAGTAGCGGATTGGTTGAGGTAAAATATGTTCTTCGACGTTTTTTTTTTCGCGTAATAAAGGTAGATAAGGACTATTTGCTTCCCCCATTAATTAACTTGACATAAGAAAGGAAATCGACACATTCAGCGACATTTGCAGAAAAGTTTAAAAGTCTGTGCAGTGCCTTTTAAATGAAACACACCTACATTAAAAACACATTTTGGCTTCAAAGCGGCTCATTCACAGGCGCTGTTTGATCAACGTATATTATTATATAGAAAATCTAGACTATTTTTTTTTCAAGCGCCATAAAAAAACAAACAAACAACAGTAAACGACTAAAGATTGCATTTACAAACAGAAGGGGGGGGGGATATTCTCACCACGCCAAGAAATGCAACGCACTATCATTCAGTCTAGATTTACGTTGCACCCAGTCTCGTGATTAATTAACGCTAATCACTGATATTTACCTTTGAATATAGCAATTAATGTCAGGAACTTTCAGGGATGAATGTTAGAATTTACAGTTTTAAATAGGGATGTCAAAATATTTATTTTCTTTAGTCGAATATTCGATTGCATTATTCGAACGACAGTCGAATATATTCGAAACTTTTTCGGAAACTAAAATTTTATTTCAAACTTCACTGGTACATCACATATCAAATCCCAAATCCCCCCCTTTTTTTAAATTGATTAAAAAGTTACATAAAATGTTACACACAGATGTTCACATGGACTTAAAATGTGGATAGCGTGTTTATATTTACTTAATATAGACCGTTAATTTCTCCAAAATGTAGGATTTCACCGTCAATCATGTTCATAAATTGGTCTGTAAAGTCGGTTTTTTAGGAAGCATAAATAATGACTGTGTGATATATTTTTTTAAAGCTTATTAAAGTGATGGGGGGGGGGGGCACATACGGTGACCTTGATAATGTTAAATATTTGAATATACTTTTTGTACCAATTATCAAAATGTCTTTAAAATATGTAAAAGAATATTAATTTTATAATAACTATCGTAGTGTCCAAACATGTCACGGCTTTTATGGGTACATGGTATGAGATCAAGTCCAATTAATAGTTTTACAAAGAAAGCGCAGTATGGCGAGATAATTTTATTATGAAAACAACACATTAATTGACAATAATTCACGCGGAAGTGAAGCGTTTCTAATCACTGTACTTTCTACATGTAAAGTCAGCAGTTTTTAATGAGGAAAATTATCTTATCGACTGTGTCTGAGGGAAGACGGTTTCTCAATTTTAGGATGAGAATTCCAACTCTTTATCACTCTTTTATTGAATTTATTTATTCGAATGTCGTTTCGTTATTCGATCGTCGGTCCATTCGACTGATGGTCGAATAGTCGACTATTCGTTGACATCCCTAGTTTTAAATTAAAACTAGAAAACTAAGAACTCATTAAACAATTGGGCGCCTTTCAATCTTTTCAGGGTTATACCGTATGCTAGAAAATGAACAAACAAATAAATAAAAAAATAACAAAGCAATAAATTTAATGAATATAAAGAAATGTTCGAAACTACGATCCTTAACTTTTCTTCTGGTGTTAGAAAGCAAAAAGTAGGATTTATGGAGGCAGACATTTTCGTCATACAAAATAGTGTGGAGAGGAATTAGTTTTTTAAGAAATGATCAGTACATACAATTTAAATGTTGATTTTCTTAATTGCTTGATGTTCTGAATGAGTTAATCAGTTTAGTACAAATGAAATATATAAGAAATACGTAGGCGGTGTTGTTTATTGTACGTGCATGTATATGGAAAACTTGCAAGGCTGGGGTAGATCCTATAGCCCATCCAGAGAGAACAGATAATTAAGATTAAAAGAAGCATTCGATTTGTTCGTTTAAACTGATTGAAAGTAGCATCATATATGCATTGTAAGAAGAAAAACAGAAAAATGAAAACATTGACTGCGATTTAATACGGAATATGGCCGTTTTTCAAAATTAATTAATTCTAAATAAAATGTAAATAAATTCCTAAAATCTGTCTAGCATCAAAATAACGAATCATGTCGGGGGAAATGAATGCCATTAATGACATCTGAAGAAATTCTTGGTAAAATGTATATTTTATTTTCTTTTCCAGGCCCGTAGAACGCGGGAGGGGGGTGTGGGGTGTGGAGGCGCCCCCACTAGTTTCTGAGTATAGTATTTTGCTATAGTAAATCTTGCTTTAGATGCTGGTTTGCCGCCCCACTTTTTGATGATTTACGGTCGAACACTGGAAAACTCCGGATTTGGACAGTAAATTAGCTTTTTATGCACCCGTATCGAAGATTCGGGGGTATATAGTTTTTGCCCTGTCCGTCCATCTGTCTGTCTGTCCGCAAAAACTTTAACCTTTCCCATAACTTTTGATTGGTTGGAGCTATGGCTTTCATATTTCATATGTGTACTCCTTGTGACAAGACCTTTCTTTGGGTACCACCATATTTGAACTTTTGACCTTGACCTTGGAGTTTGACCTAGTTTTGCAAAAATTTACCAAACTTTAACCTTGGCCATAACTTTTGAACAATAAGTGCTAGGGCTTTCATATTTCACATATGCAATCCTTGTGACAAGACCTTTCTTTGGATACCAACAACTTTGACCTTGACCTTGGAGTTTGACCTACTTTTAGAAAACTTTAACCTTGGCCATAACTTTTGAACAGTTGATGCTAGGGCTTTCATATTTCACATGTGTAATCCTTTTGACAAGACCTATCTTTAATAACTTTGACCCTTTGACCTTGACCTTAGAGTTTGACCTACTTTTGTAAAACTTTAAACTTGGCCATAATTTTTGAACGGTTAGTGCCAAGGCTTTCATATTTCACATGTGAAATCCTTGTGACAAGACCTTTCTTTGGATACCAACAACTTTGACTTTTTGACCTTTACCTCGGAGTTTGATCTACTTTTTGAAAACTTTAACCTTGGCCATAACTTTTGAACGGTTGATGCTAGGGCTTTCATACTTCACATGTGTTATCCTTGTGATAGATAAGACCTTCCTTTGGATACCAACAACTTTTACCCTTTGAAATTGACTTTGGAGTTTGACCTACTTTTGGAAAACTTGGTCATAACTTTTGAACGAGTGGTGCTTCGGCTTTTATATTTCACCTGTGTATTTCTTGGGAGAAGGCCTTTCCTTGGGCACCATTAATTTTGACCATTTGACCTTGACATTGATGTCTGTTTTCATCTGTTAAGAAATGTCATTTCTCTACTGAAGTTGTTTGTTCTTGCCAATAAAGTTGATGGTTTTTAGATAGATGGAACAATTAATGACGATCAAATTTACTTCCAAAAAAGTGTCTTTTGGGACCTTGACCACAATGCTCTAAAATTGTTCGGTAATCCGAGGTCTGGTTTGAATTGTATACAAATTTTCTACGTCGCCATTGTGCTGAGAAGAAGAGGGGGTGTATGTTGAAAGTAAGTAATGCAAGTAGATGGATATACAAATTAGGCAGGGTTCCTTGGAATATGAAAGTCATAGGTCAACTAGGTAACGTCCTATCATTGATTTCAACATTTCTCTATGGTTGGAATGAGACTGAACTTGATCAAATATCAAGAGTTGCACCGCAGGTGCCCCCTTGACCTTGGCATGAGGGGGCACAACCGTATACAATTACATAAATTTACTTGTTTTCTATTGTATCCATTAGTATGTATTGGCAAAATTAGAGTACGGGGGGGGGGGTAACGGCCTCCCGATTTGTACGGGCATATTTCACTAACTCGGAAACCTCGGACAAGCTGAGTGGTCTTCCTGGATCTAAAGCGTCCACTGAAATACTTGTGACTAAAAGTTAACGTTCCTTATTTAACGTTCAGTCATAAGTTTAACTGTGAATTTTCCATACATGTCAAATAAGTTACCTTATCTTTCCAAAAGAATAAATTCAAGTTTTCTGAATCATAAAAGTTCATGCACCAAAGCCATCATGCCTGGTACCTTTCATGTTGAAAAATTAAAATGGTTTGTTCAACCACATTCTTCTGTACTGGTTTATTTTAGAATTTTATTACATCTAGTTATTAGAATTTTTGAGCCGGACTTAAATTGTATAATTAAGTTTTAAGAGGATTGTCAGTGTTCGTTGAAATTCATTATTTGTTTATATTTTGAAGGCGAGTGTTCTGTAATGTGGACCTTTTTGATCATCATCATCATACAGCTATGTAAAGGAGTCGCTAAGTATGTCAGAGGGAAGTGGGATATGAGTACATATGTACGTTCGTTTCCGAATACATGTAACTAACTAAGGAAGTTTTACAATTTATGCAGACTTCATAAAATTTAATTTTTCTACTCTCTTCTTTATAATTACTTTGAATTGGGCCCTTGCTTCTAATGTATGAGAACGAATATTGGATTTCAGACGTCTTTGTTATATTTAAAAAGTTGCGGATTTCTCAGTAACTGGATTGTTTAAATCTCATAATCAACCGATACTTTTGTTTCCATCAAAAGATTTGTTGATTTTTGTAACACCGCTAGTGATTTGGATGAATTTTTTAAATCCAACTTGAGCTGAACAATGGCGCGCTGAAGTCATTCAATACCTTTCCATTATCCGCGATATCCCTTTTTACCTTGTATATACTAATCACTGATCCGTGACCGCAGCCGATCTTTCATGCGTCATAATAAGTAAATAAAAGCCCACCTACTAACGATTAACTCATACGGTATAAAGACAAAGACTTTTAATCGTGGGATAAATAAATTGTTCTAATTTCTGCATTTACAACGAAAATCAAAACGCTTTAAATGTGAACACGCTAGCCGCGTGACCTGTCTGATAGCGAGTTAGTCAATGGTTTGCCGACCGAGGCTGTTCCCCCTGATAAGTTACAATGGATTAGCCCTAAGTAGAAAAAGCGTATCATAAAACAACTTATTTCGACACATTTAGGATCATTTGCACTTGATTGGAAAGGGGAAGTGAGGTAGATTTGTTTATTGATGAGATGTCCAAAGATGTGATCGGAACTGTTTCCGGGAATAGAGACAACACACCACGCACATTGTTTTTGTTCTGTGATCGGCGCACGGATCTGTGATTTCAATATAATGGGAGACATTGCATAGCGTTCTGATGCTGCGAATGTTTATGAGACAAACTTGTCTCAGTTTATCCCAAGTTTGGAAAGGATAGCATGGGTGATTTTCCTTCTTCTAAAAAACGAGATGTTTTTAATCGGCTAAGACGTCGTTTTGAAGAATACAGACGCCATCACAACACTTCCAATACCTATTACGACAATACAATTAATAATATTTACGAGCATCAATCGCTCGAGACTCTGAGCCATCGGCAAAGGTGGCTGGACTCTAAAGCAAAGAAAGCGTCCAAGCAATCCAAGGCCAACCGGGAGTCAGCGGGGAGTCAGACAAATCTAATTGTAAGTATGTGCATATTTCACAGGTACAAGGGATTGTCCGAAGATAAGGAAAGATGTGTCCTGAGGCATTAGGCCTACACACGGTCATTAAGTTACACCGAGGTCAGTAGTGTGTTCAGTGTATAGGCTTCACCCCCCAGAAAAAAATATATACTTCAGCAGAAGACGGAAGTGATTAATTTCAAGAATATGCACACACCATTGTTTGTTTTAGTGTAACTGTTATCGAGAACAGCGTTTACCCTGCCTTGGAATGGGTCCTACGGCTAATGACAGTTTCTCAGATCCGCACCCGGCTCCAGCCACAAGTGTAAGCAGTGGTTTAAAAGTCAGAAATTGATCAGTAACATTTATTTGGGTCTGTTTAGGCAGCGGTTTGTTTGTCCAGTTTTAATTGACAAGGGTCACTCAGTGAATTTGTAATATTAAAGTAATTTTAACTAGTTTGAACAAGTGCTTGCGGAAATCACACTTTAAAATTTGTTGGATTTTTTTCTTCAATTAGGGGTTTCTCAGTGCAAGAACTCCGGAGACATTTCAAACACTCAAATTATAATTGACCTAAATCTTGAGATATTAATTAATTGATGTCATTTAATCAGACCCTTTGTTTTCTTGAATGCTTAAGGGTAATTTAATTAGCATACACCAGGTTTTGTAATGTAAAATCATCTTTTGTACCCAGAACTATTGTGTATTGCTTGTAAAGCGTATAGCATGTATACCAATTACATTTGGTGGATGTTTGACAATTTATGAGAGCATTGTCTGGTAGAGACAATAGGGCTGGATAGAAGAGCCTACTGATTCTGTGTGAATAAAGGTACAGCAGTGTAATGATAAGGCATAGAGAGAAACTTCCCACAATCTATAGTCAGGTCATAGTGCACGTTATTGCTCTAAAAAAAGTTTCAATTGGTACAATAACCATTTTAAAGGTAATTTTAAGGGAAATTAAAAAAAGAAATACATGCACAGCATGATAATCAGAAAATGGACTACCATTTGTTTTTTTTTTGCTGAATTTATATGTTGTGCAATTGTTCTTATTTTTATTAATTTAAGAAAAACTACATTGATAAATGATAAAATTATTCAGTTTAATAGAGTTGTTGGAAAGAGCTAAGTACACTTTGTGCATAAAATGGTCTTGTCTATAAACCAATTAATCAACTGTCACCCTCTGTCCAATTTAAAACATTAATATAAAGAAGAGACGTATGCTTTCATAAACTGCAAAAATTTCCTTGTCCCCTAATCCCCTAATTAAAACTTGTTTAATAAATTCAATATTTTTTTTTCATCAATATATATATATATATATATATATATATATATATATATATATATATATATATATATATATATATATATATATATATACTTTATATATATTTTTTTTTACTTCCAACCACTGCTCCAAAAAAGTATATATATATATATATATATATATATATATATATATATATATATATATATATATATATATATATACTTTTTTGGAGCAGTGGTTGGAAGTAAAAAAAAAAAAAAGTACTAAATATTTGCCATTTTGGAATTGATAATGATGCAATGTATGGTGTCATAATACATTTAAAACAAACCCCCCACCCCCCAAATAAAAAATTGCACAATTTTTAATAGATTTTTTTGTCGCCATGATTTCAATTGATATATAAGAATTTTTGCACTAAAATTTCACAGTTTTCATTTTTCTCAATTTTACAGAGTCTTCAAATAAGGCCTTCAGTGAGCCTTGCTTTTTACAGAAAGAAGTAGTTTAAAAGATCCCTTTTCGAAGCACAGAAAAATATTTCACAATTAATATTTGTTAAAACAGTAAAAAAAAAAAATCATTATTATAACACATTTGAGATTTGACTAACAACTATATGCATCTGTAAAGCAACATATGTCTAATACCAGGCCATCGGTAAAAATTTTTTGTTTTGATGTACTCTGACTTACATTTTAGAAGGAGGGTAGGTATGTAGCTAATTTTCTTTTTGTAATTATCTAAATATTGTTAATAGTCATAAAAGCTAAAGACTTTGAAATTTATTTATGTTTCATTATACACCAGAGATGTAGACATATTTAATAATTACTGCTTTTAAAACTTTCAATCATAAAAAGTTTCTTATAGAGAAATGATAAATCATGATTCAGACAATCTGTATTTCCCTGGAACCCCCCCCCCCCCCAAAAAAAAAATAGAATAAAATTTAAACTACTGAAGAAATGATCGGGTAGAGGCATTTTTGATTGGTCAGTCTAACTACATAAAACAAATCATTTTTTATTCTTGGCCCCATTTATGCTATACTTAAGGGAAAAGTGAAATTATTGAAATAAAAACATGGCAGTTTTTCTTTAGAGGTATACTTATATTCAAATTTGAATAAAAAGTATGAAGCCGTGATCTACAATTCAGCCATGCTTTTGAAAACAGAGAAACAAGTTGGGTTTATCATTTTGGCAAAATAAACAAGATAAACGGCACAAGCAGCTCAGGATTTTAATTGCTAAGATAAACTTAGTTGTCTTCAATATCATATCACCAATTAAGAGTGTAGAGCAGTGAGCTGCTTTCTTCCTCAGCATGTTTGGTTTTGATGACCTCTGCTTGCTTATCAGGTATAACTATGTGGCCAGTGATTGCACAAAGGCTCACAAACAAGTCAGAATGTTCCCCAGACCAAATGATTTTTTCCTCAAGAGAAAAAAAATAATGCAAAATTTAGTTTATTGCCCTAAAACAAAATTCTAAAATGATTAAATATGACAGTTTATGTAAAGTAAAATTCATCATAGAATATAACTGGATAAATTAAGAAGTTTGTTGCTTGTTCTATACTTTACTTTGGTTTGTTTTGAAAATATACATGTCTGCTGTATTGTATTTGTTTCCATTAGCATGCAGTCATTGTCTAATTTCCCATTGATGCATGTTTGATTCTTCAAACCATGTCATTTTATGAGGGAAGCCAAAAGAAAACAAGGAATTTGCTAAACCAATTTATTCTCACTTAGTATGATGCTAACCTGATCAAAATGCTGAGTAAGAATTTCTAATCAAAGTGTGCCAAACATATTTCTACCAGTTTTCTCTTTTTATTTTAATTTTCAGATTCACTAGACAATTTTATCAAACTTGGTAAATAGTATCCATGTGCAAAAGAAACCTATATGAAGGACTACACTCCTTCTCAAGGCAGAGACAAGTAAAATAAGGGAAGTTAAGATGAAGTCAATTTAAACATCAACTTCTTTAGAATGTCAGGGATAGAAATAAGTGGTTTTTGAGAGCTTCCTTGTGAGATGTAGATCTAATTTAGTTTAAAAAAAGAACAGCCCACAGAATGATGATCAGCCTCAGTAAGGTGAAGGTATTGCAGAATCAATATGGGTAAAGTTTGAAATAGTCATCAAAATATCTAACTGTAGTTAAGATTTAACTCTTCTACAAATGCCCAGAATGAGTATGCAAAAAGGTCTCAAGATATACATTCAGTTTCATCTTAAACAGGGGACAGAATCTTCCAAAGAACATTTCTTGGCTACAAGATATGATTTGCTAAATAAAAGCAAATGTATATTTGTCTATATGGAAAATATACTGAACAGTCTTTGAAAGAACCTCATTTCTGGAAATTGTCAAATTCAAGTATGCTCATATGAAGGGCCACACTTTCTTCCAAGGGGAGATAATTAAGAAATAGTAAAAATTGGGTGGGGTCATTTAAAAATCTTCTTCTTAAGAACCACTGGGCCAGAAAAAATGAAACTTATGTGAGAGCTTCCTGACACAGAATATACTCAAGTTTGTTCAATTCATGAACCCTGGGGTAGGATGGGGCTATGAAGGGCGATCAAAGTTTTACATAGGAATATACAGTTGAACTTTGCTATCTCGAATACTGATATCTTGAATACCATGGATATGTTGAAGTTATTTGGTAGTTCAAGATAACAAGGTTTGACTGTATAGGAAAAAGAATCTGCTTATTTAAAGAACAAGAAGGGCCATAGCTACTCAGGTGAGTGTTGTGGTCTGTGGGCCTCTTGTTTATTTTAATATTGATATTTGTGCATTTTTTGTTAGTTTTCTCATAAATGTATACTTCAAAGACCCTCTTTACTCTGCATGCATAGTGTTATCTACCCTTAGATTTAAAATAAATTGAATTGAAATCAAATTTGTATCTCAATTTGTAATCAATTCAGCATAAATTTTATTTAATTAAACACTTTATTTGCATGTATTTTCCCATTTAAACATCAGTAGGGATTTCTGTTCATCAATACTTTGTTGTACTTGAACATTTTTCGGATTTTTTCCTGAGGAATGGTAACTTTTGTTGAAAATAAAATAGAAAAACTCCAGATTTACACCTTTATATAATTTTTTTTTCAACATCCATATTTTATTTTTAAATTAGTGTACAGAAAGTCAAAGTAGTTAAGAAGTTAAAAAATACGATACAATGTCTATCAGTAATAGGTATAATCCCTCAAGTTTTACTGGTATTTGGTTGAAAATTTGAAATATTTCAATTTTATTTTTTTAATATAAATCTTGATGTAAATATCTTATTGTTTTTATTGAGCAACTTAATTAAAATATGCAATATGTATGACGCCTGTTTTTGTGTGAAAGTGGTGAAGTCATGATAAGAAGAATCCCCTATGTTTTGTGGTTGGATATGATTTTTTATCCAACTCGTGTGTTTTCTATCTCTTCGCAAGGCTCGGGGATAGAAAACACACTAGTTGGATAAAAATAATATCCAACCACAAACCATGGGAGATCCTATATTTATAAAAACACCTGTTTCAGGAGATTGAGTTAATCTGGTATTCAAAGTGCTTCAATTCGAGGTGCAATGCACAGGAATTCTGTTGCTAACATGTACCTCATCCGATGGGTTTCACCTGAACAAAGGTGCATACACGATGCAGGACCACTAAATGCAGTGCAAGATGGAAAGTTTGTTGTTGGAGAACAAGTGACACACGATATATTAGCCGATTTCACACTCGATAGTTGACCCACAATTTCCTAGACTTGATATTATTGATAAATATGGAGCAGATATATATAATTACATGTATATATACAGACAATGCACTTGCCTTCTCATTTTTATACATGTAAGCGAGGAATCCTACGTTTCAAGTCTAGATATCTGGGCTGATATATTCAAATGATTTGTGCTAGATGTTGCGACTTAGACTAAAAAAAATTTCTTGAAATACTTAACGAATATGACATAAATCAAAATGCATCTTTGACAATGTTGTCAGGATAGCATGTGAACAATTTCTATGACCTACTTTTATGAAGATAATAGTCCGTTTCCTCTCCTCACGATAAGTTATTTAAATATTATTCAAATATATGTATATTTAAGAGTAAGGCAATAAATTATTGTATAAAAAAGATTATTAAATCAATTGAATTGCAGAACCCTAAGTATAGAACTGTGCTACTTTGTTAAATATATGTATAGATGCACAAATGTATCACCGCTAGTGGCTGTATTTTATATAATGTGTCTTTTCTGTTATATAGCCTCGCTTGAAGAGAAGATTAGACGTAAACCAAGGCGACGGATCGACGACAGACGGCGCTGACACAGAGGGATCATCGGCAAAGCAGGCGAACAACGGTACCACAAGCGAAATCAACTTTTCTGTGCGGATCGAACAGCAGGATAACAACGTAAAACTTGACGTACACGCTACCGTCGGCTCCAAAGGAGAATCTAGTGTCGAAACTACCGCTAATGTCAAATGCGAACAAAAACAAAGCCCCGACGACTGTAGCAATGAAAACGGGAACCTCAGTCCGTCAGATAATATAAGTATTAACGACGAAGACATTGACTTTATTTTGAGGTCCATGGTGGAAAATAACCAGGACGAGAATTTGTTGGAGGAGATTAACAAATTTGAGAAAATTTGTCAAAGTAAATTTTCGGATGACAGTAATAACAGTAATGACACAAAAATGTATCCCTTAATGAAGTCTCCGGGACTTCCCAACAAGATTGAATCCAACTCGCCGATTTTCAATGGCAACCCGAAGTATCCAGTTAACTCGCCGCACCTACAGAACTTTAATAGAGCACCTTCGACAAGCATGGCAGAAGGCACACTGCCGGCTGCAGAGACATTGAAACAGTTAGCAGCCAACCATCAAAATCAAAGCACGGGCACGGGCCCCTTCCCACCATATCCTGGCCACCAGATTTCTCCTGATACTGGCCAATTTCCACCAAATTCCGGATATCCTCCAAATTATGACCCACCTACCCCTTCTCATTACAATCCAAACCAAGGACCGTATATGAATAATATGCATGGGCATGTGCCGTTTAACCAGTCAAAATCGGAGGCAGGTTTAACATATAATGGTACCAAGCCACTCACTCATTATCAGCCAAGTGTTCCCGTTTCTGTGCAACAAACGCAACCCCAGTCGTCGTTGCAACAACTTCAAAATCAAGTCCAATCACATTTCAGCCAATCTCCACAAATGGAAATCACCCAGACACAGCATGTGCAAGTAACAGACGGGGCCAGCCGAATGCAAATGTCTCAGACCCAACAGGTCCATATGAGACAGCCACCGCAGCAGATGTCGATATCGCAGCAGCAGTCATTCAGTGTGCCGGGAGCTAACATGGGACCAAACAGTCAAAACTCTCAATACATGAATGAACAAATGAAAATGCAGATGATGCAAGAGAAAATGCGTCGCGATCGACAAGCAAAAGCTCGTTCACTATTAGAAAGTCAAAGGCAGCAGCAGCAACAGTATATGAATCGTCCCCCACCAGAATACAAAATGCAGCAATCCGCACCTGAAGGGTATCCAGGGGCAGAAATGGGCCCCAATCCACTTCAGACCATGCAGAACATGGTCAACCAAACCAGTACTTTGCCATCTGCACAGTACAGTCATATCAAATCTGAAAGTGCTAGTGTACAAATGCCAAATGGTATGATGCAGTCACACCAGGTAACTGCAATGCAGCAAAGAGTTGGTAGTGGACACATGCCTGATATGCCACAAGGCAATCAACCTTATCCGATCCAGCGACAACAGTCGTATCCAGGTGCCCATCCACATCCGCTACGTCCTCAGAGGCATCCGCCCGAGTCGACGTTCACAAGTTCTATCATGCGTAATCAACGACCACCAAACGTCAACGTAGGTCCAGATGGCCTAAATATCTCCCAGCCCCGCAGTGAGTGGCCAAGACCAATGTTGAATCAACAAATGTCCAGACAACCAATGTCGTCTGGCATGCCGCAAATGAGTGCGCAGGTTGGAATGATGCAATATCAATATGCAAATCAAAATGGTATGGGAGGGTCTAGTATGCCAGGTATGCAGGGACCACCAGCACGGCCCATGCAAATGGGTTCTATGCAATCACAACCTATGATGCCGCAATCTCACCCAATGATGATGCATCAAAGCATGCAAATGTCACAGAGAATGGCAATGCGAGCGGGACATATGGACTCGACTAATCAAATACCAAATGGATCAAATCATGAGGACATTATAAACCTACTAGACAGTGCTGGACCTAATAACAATCCGGAACTTTTGGATACAATGACTGTACAAAATTCGGATCCCAGTAATGATGCCGCGTGGCTGGACGAGATTCTTGGCGGGAAATGATTGTCAGAAGACAAGCGTTGATTTATCGAGATAATTGAAGATGCATCGATTTCCTCTTTAGATATGAAATTGAAATGATTCTAGATGCAGCTTGATGCAAGTGATATTTACATAATCGATACGATGAAACAGAGATTGTGCGGCGCTCTGTCCTGCAGTGTTAAGCACTGTAATGATTTTGAATGACATCAATATTTGTGATGATGGGATATTGGACCAGTAGTCAGACAGGAGTCTCTGCACCCCAAGGTTTCCGGCGCTTCCTAACTCTGTGAAGGAAATGTCGAGTGTATTTTTAACTCAAGTGCTTGTATTCATTAGATCTGTTACTTGTTTTCATTTTTTAAAAAAAATCTACCTCCAGGACTATGACCATTTCTGTATCGAAAACAACTTCGTTATTTTATTTTATCTTTTTATTAGTTATGCATTTTTAGAAATTTCCGATGAGCCGAATGTCCCCAAAATGTAAATTACACATTTAATTAAGGTTTTGTTTGGAAATAATTGAACGGATCAGTATTGATTGTTTTGCATTGATTTCTGTTTTCATCCTTTCTTCGAGTTTTGTTGTGACCTTTCCCATGATTCTAGTGTAATAATATTATTATGATATATGTTACGTTGGTTAAATCGAACCTAGTAGTTGTAGCGTTTAGCTTTTCTTTCTCTACATTATATAGTTAGTATTGCATGTTGCCATTATTTTGTTTACCCCTTTCGTTGACCTCGCGACATATGGCAAGAAAACTTAAAAACGGCGGGCACTTGTCCCACCCGTTTTCAAGCGAGTAACATCGTAAAAACCGGACTAATTGAAGTATGTGTGACAGTGAGAAATTGAAATGAGATATTTAAGCGTTAAGCAATGGGGAACACATTGACCAAATAGCTTTCTATTTATTGTCTTTCTCCATTATGAGCCTAACGCTGAAGGCGCCGAATCTCGGCCCTTTTGAAAAGAGATAACGGGAGCTATAGTCTCTTCTCGCATCATTTTGTATTAGCATTTCAGTCGATGGTCGACAGTTGAAATTTATTGCAATTAATTTATTCCCCGAGATTTGCTGAATATTCTTGACACATTCACATTTAATTAAAGAATTCTCGAGCGACTTGACATCACACATGACATCGAGACAAATCAAAAATGTATTTTTTTTTTTTTTTTTACATTTGATGTTTTATTGTCTTCTAATCTGACAAAAATCAAGTTGTATTATGTAAGGTATTTTTCATATCGATTGTTTACAATGTTTTTATTGAATAAATCTATTTTAAAATTAGACATAGGTATTGCATTACTTATTCAAGACCAATCGGTATCAAATACAATATTAGAACAGTCGACGATAGATAAATTTTTAATTGTACCATTTTATCATTTAAAAAATGACAATTTGCCACCAGTTTATTCAAAATGAACTTCATCATTAAATTAAGTAAAATACACCTTGGAACAATGAAAGAGTGTCTTCTAAAGGTTACTGAATGTTCGGTAGCACCTTTATGATTGTGAAAGGCAGCTCATTAAGTGGCAAGATTAAAAAAAAAGATACTAAGAGGCAGATGCACGGCATTATGAAAATATTTCATCTCTTTTTTCTAGAGATGTTTTTTTTTTCTGTAACATAGACGCTAACTCGTGACGAACACGTGACTACCCTATAGGAAAGGGAACTTGGCATTGCTCTTATCTTACTGTTTGTTGATAAACGGTAACGCTGAATTCGACAGACCTCTTTCACCGATGTTATCACGAAATCTTCTAATCTGTAAAAAAAAATTCAAATGTTAGTGTAATTGATATAGCAAGTATGGAATAGGAAGCGATAGTTCTGTCCATCAAGCGTTAAAGTTAGGTCCGTGTACTTTCCCTCTTAGAAAGCGAATTCATTCAATACCGTGGTTCAAGAAATTGAAATGAACTTGGCAATTTGTAAAAGGAAACGCAGGTGAATACACCGGATTTTCCAACAATAATTTTACACATAAACGATTTCACATTATTGAGGACATTGCTGTCAGTCGCTTTGTAACGAATTTTGCTGTATAAGGGTGTCGATGCTTTCCTTTGCCTGGCATTCAAAAGGGGAATCATACTAATAGTTACACGGATAGAATTTATATGCTGAACGGAGAGCATTGCAAATAAATTTTTACGTGATAAAAAAACAATTCTGTATTTCTACAACATCAAGTATTGTACAAAAGTTCACACTTAATTAATCTAGAATACATATATATTGATTGTATTAATGGAGACAATGTTTTTATATGTCTTAAAAATGGATAGCTTTTGATTGGTTGATTTTCCGACGAGAATATGTCCTTTGGAAATAGCTCTATATCTATATAATAACATTTCCGTCGCTGCAGTGGCTGCCATATACTTAACAGTGGTAGTTAGAGAACCCGTGACTCTTTCTAATCAGTGACCTTTCAATTGTAAAGTACTTGTTCCGAGTGGAAACCAGATCTGGTCAACGGTTGAATAATGGGTCAGACGTGTTGATCGTATTCAGTGTTGATCTAAAACGGCAAAATTTCGGATTCACCTTGCGGGAATTTTAGTTTATATTTCGCACTGAAGAAACGTTGTTATATTTGCGTACATGTACATAATCAGTCACAACTATCAATTAAAATATTGGAAACCTTTGACATTTATAGTGGCCTTATAAAGTCTTCGGGCTACACGAGATAATACTGAACAACCTTAATTAATGAGAGGATTTACCACGGCGTGGTATATTATAACGGTTATGTCCATAAAATAATGTTCAAAATTATTTTTAAACGGAAATGTAACCTTTTAAAGTGATAATTATTGATGATTTCATGCGTTTCTGAAAACTTTTTAAAAAAATAAATCAAATGCCATCATTGCATCAAAGCCTCGGAATAGAGAAAACAGAATCTGATAGAAGCTGTCGGCTTTGAGACAGCTTTGTGCAATAGACCTTAGCATTGTTTCAATCTTAGATGGCCTTACCAAGACTAAACTGCACATGTCAGAAAGAATGAAAATATGACAAACAAACAAGCGAACAAAAACGATTGTAAAACACGTCTTCATTGTTTGAATGTTCATTTATAAAACTATGGTCTTCTCTCTTCTTTCAGTAAATGACCATACATGTAGAAATGTATACTTATTTGTTCTTCAATCTCTTTGAATTCATGCAATTATATATATTTATATATTTTTTAAAAAATCTATACCGAGAAAAGCCTAGGACATACTTGCTTTGTCATTCATTTAAAAAAAAAACACACACACAAACAATCATATAGTATCTTATTTTACTTTTAGCTGATTAGCGTCAAATGCTGAAAGATCGAAATTTGTCCGTTGTCTTTCGGCGTTGTCGTTAGCGTAGACATATCACACGTTTGTCTTTTGTAAAATTTCAATCAAACTTGGATCAGAGTATCCAATTTAAGTTTGTTTATAGAAAAATAAAGGGTCATGCCCCCCTTCCAAGGGGAGACAAATAAGAAAAGGGTGGAGCCATTTGAAAAAAGCTTGGCCAGAGCCACTGGATCAGAAAATGTCCTACTTCTGTGAGCGTTTTCTGACATAGAGTGTATTCAAGTTTGTTAAAAATGGCCCTCACGGGTAGGGCCACAAAGGATTCAAAGTTTTACATAGGAATATATACGAAAAAATCTTTGAAAAATCTCTTCAAAAGATCAGGAGGGCCATGGCTAGTCAAAGTAATTTGCAAGCATCGCCCGATATTGTATAGTTTAGTTCGATCGTTCAAATCATGACCCCAGGGGTAGGGTGGGGAAACAATAGATCAAAGGTTTAGATTGGAATATGAAGGAAATTTTTTAAAAAAAAAAATCATTTCAGAAGTAACAGAGTCTTTCTAATTTGCAAACATCTGCAAACTATGTTTTTGACTTAGGACTAGGGCGGGGCAAAAATCAGAATAAAGAATCTTTTTTTTAGCTCACCTGAGCTGAAAGCTCAAGTGAGCTTTTCTGATCACCCGTTGTCCGTCGTCCGTCCGTCTGTCCGTCCGTCCGTCTGTAAACTTTTCACATTTTCAACTTCTTCTCAAGAACCACTGGGCCAATTTTAACCAAATTTGGTACAAAACATCCTTGAGTAAAGGGGAGTTTAAATTGTTAAAATAAAGGGCCAAACCCCCTTACAAAGGGAGATAATCAAGAAAAGACAAAAATAGGGTGGGGTCATTAAAAAATCTTCTTCTCAAGAACCACTGGGCCAGAAAAGCTGAAACTTAAGTGGAAGTATCCTGGGGTAGTGTAGATTCTAAATTGATAAAATCATGACCCCCGGGGGAAGGGCGGGGCCACAAAAAGGAATTCAAGTTTTACATTGAAATATGTAGAAAAAATCTTTAAAAATCTTCTTCTCAAGAACCACTGGGCTAGAAAAGCTGAAACTTATGTGGAAGCATGCTGGGGTAGTGTAGATTCTAAATTGTTAAAATCATGACCCCCCGGGGAAGGGTGGGGCCACAATAGGGAATCCAAGTTTTACATTGAAATACATAGAAATTTTTTTAAAAAAATCTTCTTCTCAAGAACAATTGGGCCAGAAAAGCTGAAACTTATGTGGAAGCATCCTTGGGTAGTGTAGATTCTAAATTGTTAAAATCATGACCCCCAGGGGAAGGGCGGGGCCACTTTAGTAAAACTAAGTTTTACATTGAAATACTAAGAAAAAATCTTTAAAAATCTTCTTCTCAAGAACCACTGGGCCAGAAAAGCTGAAACTTACGTGGAAGCATGCTGGGGTAGTGTAGATTCTAAATTGTTAAAATCATGACCCCCCGGGGAAGGGCGGGGCCACAATAGGGAATCCAAGTTTTACATTGAAATATGTAGAAAAAATCTTTAAAAATCTTCTTCTCAAGAACCACTGGGCCAGAAAAGCTGAAACTTATGTGGAAGCATGCTGGGGTAGTGTAGATTCTAAATTGTTAAAATCATGACCCCCGGGGGAAGGGTGGGGCCACAATAGGGAATCCAAGTTTTACATTGAAATACATAGAAATTTTTTTTAAAAATCTTCTTCTCAAGAACCATTGGGCCAGAAAAGCTGAAACTTTTGTGGAAGCATCCTTGGGTAGTGTATATTCTAAATTGTTAAAATCATGACCCCCGGGGAAGGGCGGGGCCACGTTAGTAAAACTAAGTTTTACATTGAAATACTAAGAAAAAGTCTTTAAAAATCTTCTTCTCAAGAACCACCTGGCCAGAAAAGCTGAAACTTTTGTGGAAGCATGCTGGGGTAGTGTAGATTTTAAATTGTCAAAATCATGACCCCTAGGGGAAGGGCGGGGCCACAATGGGGAATCCAAGTTTTACATTGAAATATGTAGAAAAAATCTTTAAAAATCTTCTTCTCAAGAACCATTGGGCCAGAAAAGCTGAAACTTACGTGGAAGCATCCTTGGGTAGTGTAGATTCTAAATTGTTAAAATCATGACCCGTGGGGGCAGGGCGCGGCCACAATAGGGAATCCAATTTTATATTGAAATATATAGAAAAAAAATCTTTTTCTCAAGAACCACTTGGTCAGGAAAGCTAAGACTTTTGTAGAAGCATCCTGGGGCAGCGTAAATTCTAAACTATTCAAATCTTGACCCCTGGGGATAGGGCGGGGCCACAATAGGGAATCCAAGTTTTTCATTGAAATATATAGGAAAAATCTTTAAAATTTTTCTCCTCAAGAACCTCTTGGCCAGTAAAGCTGAAACTTATATGGAAACATCCTGGGGTAGTGTAGATTTTAAATTGTTAAAATCATGACCCCCATGGGTAGGGCGGGGCCACAATAGGTATTACAAAAAGATCGTCTTGTGAAGAACAGCAGGGCCAAAGTTATTCAGGTGAGCGTTGTGGCCCATGGGCCTCTTGTTTTTTTTTTTTGTTTTTTGTTTTTTTTTTTTTTAATCTTCTTATCATACGGTTTGATCTGTGAAATTTGCGAAGGAAATAAAAAAAAAGTCATCACTCCAATATTAAGACAACTCATTGTTTTAAACATAGATTTCTTATATTCCGTTACATGATTTCTGTAGTTTAGAACCCTTTTCCTGGCTGCATCACGCTTAATTTTCTTCTCAGTCTTCTTTGAGGCTTTATAATTAACATAAGTGCAACATGAGCTATTTTTATGTCAGAAACATGTGTTTTTATTGGGTGGCTGCTGTATGGAACATACGGTTTCAAAGATCAATGCAAGCTACGGGATTTGTGTCCATTCTAGTTTGTGGAACTAGAATGGACACAAATCCCGTGG